CGCCACCGCGTACTTCCGGGATTTTTCCGCGTTGACGCCTTATCCCACTACTCCTTTCTAGTATGCGCCGCCTTTTCCACCGCTTGGCGGCGGGTATGTCGACGGGTGATTTCTTGTTTCCGTACTTTATAAACTGCATTTCTTTCTTTTTTTCATCTATAATAGTGAACAAAAACTACTTTTATAAATAATTGAAACGGTTCGCGCCACTTATATTTTGTATTTCGACCAAAAAGAAGTTTTTAGCGGCTCTGACCAAGTACATAGAGATCATACATACTAACTCTAGAGGAAAAGGTCCGCCATTTTCCCATACATTCTGGCTGCCGCAAGAGGCGGATCATGCAGGCAGACCCTCGGGGTCCCAAACACGGTTACATCATCAGAGCAGTTTCGTGAACTTCAACAATCCACGAACTTACCGGTGGAAAGATATTCGCGTTCCTTTCGAAGCTTTCTTTTTGCATAGCGCGCAGATGTACGGCCTCGCGTTAACGCTAAACTAAACCATATACCCGGCTTCGCCGGTGGGGCGCGGCTGGGCGCGGTTGAGGAATACGAAACTGCGCAACCACTATATTTCCGAGATTTCGACAGAAGGGAAGTTAATGCAGCGTAATGACTTTATTGCTTTTTATAAGCGTTAGAGTAGCCCAGAATTTAGTTTACAGCGTTAAATTATCACTGTTTGTATTGCTGAGTTTTCACTCTTCGCGTTTACCACTGATCTCTAGAGATCAGTGGCGTTTACCATGGCAACGTTGTTTTCTTTCTCTCGTGTTCTGTCGCTTTCTTTTGCGATCGTTCACTCGGGACCCCGGGTGTCGGCGCACGGGATTTGCCACTCCTCCTCACCCACCTTTACCCCCCTGGACCAGTAGTAAGCCCAGGACCAAAGACGTCGCATTTTGCGCGCTTTCGGTACCGCGGGTCGCCCTCGTCGGTGGAGGAGGTTTCCGTGTCGTCCGGTTAAAATATGGCGCACTGATATTTAGCCACTCTTTCCGTGCCCGCTGGCTTGCCCGAACCCCAAGAGACGTGGAAACCGCATAAAAGGTAGACGCTTAAATATGATTGCAGGGCCCCTTTAAGAGGTCGCAAGAGTGTGAACGGGCCTTTAGGTTAAAATTATTGCAGTGAAATTTCCAAGATTTTTGTTTCAAAGGGGGGAACATCCAACTTTCTTCGGAAACTTCCGAAAGCTGTGTTTCATGTAGACAAGATGCGAACTTGTCTTCATGAAACAGTTCATAACATGGTGTCAGAAACGGAACACGAAAACGCTCGCATGTGAAGTCAAGACCGATGAACATCGTGAAACGGGAAGTACCCACAACGATAAGCGGTACCATTGCGGAACGACTGAACCTGATCAAGCGAGTAGCGTCAGCGGAAAAGCACTGCAACCAGACAGTAAAAGAACACGAGGACGTCTTCCATGGACTTGGTGAAATCAAGAGTGTCAAGTATCACATGAAGCTCAAGTCAGATGCTCAGGGTGTTACGCAACAGCCACGTACAGTCCCAGTAGCCATCCGAGACCAGCTGAAAAGCCACCTAGATGACCTCGTGCAACAGAAGGTGATTGCACAAGTGACAGAACCAACAGAGTGGGTCCACCCAATCGTGGTTGTGAAAAAGAAGGATAAACTCCGACTGTGCATCGATCCACAAGAGCTCAATAAGGTTCCCATGCGAGAGAACTACTGCATGCCTACACTGGAGGACATAGCAGCACGACTGGAGGGAGCCAAGTTCTTCTCGTCACTCGACGCAGCCACGGGGTTTTGGCAGATCAAGCTAGACACACCGAGTTCGTACCTCTGCACATTTGCAACACCGTTCGGGAGATACAGATTTCTCCGAATGCCTTTTGGCATATCGTCAGCTCCCGAGGTATTCCAGAAGACTATGCATGTGGTGTTTGAAAGTCTCGACGGAGTTGAAATCATGGTCGACGACATTCTTATCTGGGGAAGGACGGAAGAGGAGCATGACCGTCGACTGCAAGCCGTGCTGCAGAGGTGTCGTGAGGTCAACCTCAGACTGAACACAGAGAAATGCAAGTTCTCTCAAAGCAAAGTCAAGTACTTGGGACATATCTTGTCACCTGAGGGACTCTCGATTGACCCGACGAGAGTACAAGACATCTTTGCTCTCCCAAGACCATCAAATGTTGGGGAACTGAAGAGCTTCCTACGAGTCGTGAACTACCTTGGCAAGTTCATCGCGCACATGTCCGACACAAGTGCACCATTAAGGCAACTCTTGAAGAAAGAGGCGGCCTGGTCCTGGACAGAAGAGCACGATAAAAGCTTCACAGCACTTCGAACAGCGTTGACTGTCGCACCGACTCTGCGGTTCTACGACAAGAACAAACCAGTAACTCTGTCAGTGGATGCAAGTTCCAGAGGAACGGGTGCAGTGTTGCTTCAGGAGGGCCAGCCAGTAGCCTACTCATCGAGGTCGTTAAATGACGCCCAAAAGAACTATGCCCGGATCGAGAAGGAGCTGTTGGCGATTGTCCATGGATGCAGCCGATTTCACGACCACATTTTCGGGCAAACCGTTACCGTGGAGTCGGACCACAAGCCACTTGAGGCGATCTTCAGAAAACCTCTGAATCAATGTCCTCTCAGATTAGAAAGGATGAGACTGACCCTACAAAAGTATGACCTGCTGGTGAAGTACATTCCTGGTAAAGAGCTGTACATTGCAGACACGCTGTCAAGAAACCCTTCGAAGGAGGAAGAGGCTGAAGTCTTCGATGTGAATGTCTTGGAGTGTCTCCCTGTGAGATGAAACACTGGAAGAATGTCGTCAAGCAATCAGCAGGGACAAGGATCTAAATACCATGCTGCAGTATGCAAAGAGCCAATGGCCGAGCAACAAAGAAGACATTCCAGGCCCATTAAAGACATATTGGCTGTACAGGGATGAAATCCATGAGGAGGAGGGCTTACTCTTCAGGTCGAATAGACTCGTCATTCCAGAAGAGATGAAGAGCACCATCTTGGCAAGGCTTCACAAAGCTCACAGCGGAGTAGAGAAGACGCTCCATCGTGCTAAAGAAGCTCTCTACTGGCCTGCAAAGCAGAATGACATCAAGCAGGTGGTAGAAAATTGCAGCGTGTGCAGGAGCACAAGCCGAGGCAGCAGAAGGAGCCACTTGTGAACAATCCAGTGCCAACCGCACCCTGGCAGATTGAGTGGACTTGTTTCAGCACTCGGGACACCACTACATTGTGTTGGTGGACTATTACTCTTTTTTCTATGAAGTGCACCAGCTTTAAAGGTCCACTGCCAAGACGATAATCAAATGTTGCCTGCAACGTCTGCCGTGCATGGTCTACCTGTCAGGTTGGTTACTGACAATGGACCACTATTCAACAGCGCCGACTTCAAAGAGTCCTTGCAGCACCGAGGAATATCACATGTGACATCCAGCCCGTATTATCCTCAGTCAAACGGGATGGCAGAGAGAGCGGTGCAAGAGTCGAAAAAACTCATGACCAAGTGCAGCTACGGAACGCCAGAGTACTACGATGGCCTACTCGAATAACGAAACACTCCCAGGGATGGAGTTCTAGGATCACCAGTTGAAAGGCTCATGAACAGACATACCAGGACGGAAATCCCTACACATCCATCTCTACTGCAAGGGACAAGCACAGACCCAAGCAAGGTACAACAGCGGCTGAGAGTCAAGCAACGAACTCGGCAACGGTACTACAACAAAGGCACCAAACCTCTACCTGAATTACACGCGGGAGAAGACGTCTACCTTCAACGGCTGTCATACTCGCTGGAGCCCCGCAGCCAAGGTCATACATTGTTCAAGACGACAAGGGCATACAGCGCAGAAGGAACAGCATCGCTCTTCGCAGGAGCCAGAGAGCGAAACAAAAACCAGCCCTCTACCGCGACACAAATTTTATTTATGAGTGAAAAAGGGAGATGTAGAGGGAGCCATCTCACCGAGGGGGAGCACGAGTATCGCGCAAGCGGCTTGGGACCGTTGACCAATGAGAGACACACACAGAGCAAGCAGCGTGACCTGCCATGTCGAGGCAAGCTTGTCGAACTCGTACTCAGTACTCGGTCTTCTCAGTTGTATTAACTAGTCGTTAATAAACGCTTTCATAACAAGGTCCTGAGCTCGAAACTATCATCACCCCATCACGTCCCCCAGGGACGTAGCCCAACTCTTCGCTTCACAGTTCTCCTCTGCTTTCAGCCACAACTCCTCTACTCCAGATCCCGACCTTCTTGTGCAGACTATCGAAGCTTCCACCTCCCAACCTGTAACCTGCCTTCCAAATTTGTACTTGTCCCTCGACGACCTGCATGAAGCTGCCCGACTGATCCGGCCCTCCCACTGTGCTGGGCCTGACCTGCTCGCCCCTACTTTCATCAAGTCCCTATTCCCTTACCTATCTTTCTCCTTGCTCTCACTTTTCCAATCCTTTCTCGACCACTCCTACGTGCCCTCCGCGTGGAAGAAGGCCCTTGTGACACCAGTTCACAAGGGTAAAGGGAAACCTCTCAACGACCCTTCCAGCTACAGGCCCATCTCTATTACTTCTATCCTCTGCCGCACTTTCGAACGCACCATCAACCAGCACCTTCTTCGCTTTCTGGAACACAACGGCCTTCTTTCTGCCTCCCAGCATGGTTTTAGGCCCAACCGAAGCTGTGAGTCAGCTCTCGCTACTATTGTTCACCACATAAGCAACAACCTGGATAACCGTTCCTCAACTGATATCATTCAACTAGACCTGTGCAACGCCTTTGATTCCCTCGACCACTCTATCCTCCTCCAGAAAATTGCACAATCCGGTATTTGTGGCCCCCTGCTGCTCTGGCTGAGCCGCTTTCTTATCGGTCGCTCCCACCGTGTATTGTTCCATGGGAAGGCCTCCGATGAGTTCGCTGTCACCTCAGGGGTACCCCAAGGATCAGTACTGGGGCCCACATTATTCCTCTTGTATGTGAACGACATGCCTTCATCGCAAGAGTGTCTGCTGGTGCAATATGCAGACGACACCACCATTCTGGCCCCAGCAGACGTACCCTCCTCCACGCCGGGTGTCCAGAGTCTCCTGGACCAGATTGCCTGCTGGGCAAGAACGAACTGCCTCTCAATTAGCTTCCACAAAAGTGCTGCAATGCGAGTCTCCAACAGCTGTTCCACCGTTCCTCCTGCATACTACTTGTCAGGCTCTCCCATTCCTAGTGTTCAGTCTCTCCCAATCCTTGGGGTTGTGTTCAGTTCAACTCTGGACTTCTCACCTCAGATTGCAGACACTGTGTCCAGGGCCCGGCGGACTCTTGGCTTTGTCACACGTGTCTCAAGGAACTGGGGACATGAAACTTTCCGCGCTCTCTACACTGCCTTAGTCCTGCCTCGTCTGGAATACTGCTGCTCCGTGTGGGGACCCTTCCAGGCTCACCTCATCGACAGGCTGGAGGGCGTGCAGCGCCGGGCTACTCGAACACTTCATACTCGGATGTTGGGCCGGCAAGTTCCTGTGCCGCCATATGAAGCTCGCCTTAGGGCCCTTGGGTGGCAAAGCCTCTGCCACCGCCGGACAGTGGCTCGGGTTGGGCTCCTTTGTAGGTTGCTCGACGGGTCCATGAGTGATACCCACCTCCACTCATGCATCAGGATCGGGAAGCGATCCGGGCAGCCAGAACTCCTGCACGCCCGAACAGTGCGCCACTCGCACTCCGTACTCCCCGCCGCCCTCGAAGACTTTCTTGCGGCCCCCCTGTCGATTCGATCTCCACTCCCCAACAACCGTGACGAGTCCGCTGCCTTGCGCCGTGCATTTTCGCGGTCAAAGCACCTAAACTGATTCTACGCCATGATCATTGTTCGGTTTCATTTTGTTTTTATTCGTTCTCTGTTATTGTTGTTTGTTTTGTTATTTCATGCCCCGGGTGGTTGGCTGACAGGCACTCTAGTGTACGGGCTCTCGCCTTTCTGTCATCGCCTCGCAAGCCACCCGGGGTTACATTGCTCTTGCAAATAAAGATTATTATTATTATTATTATTATATAAATTTCGCAAAATCGCCCAACTAAAAAAAAATAATAGGTGGCGCTAGTCACCGCCCGCTCTGAAAAACGTATTTGCATTTATTTGTTTATCTACCGATACGAACGGCGGCCAAGCCACAGTTACCTATCCGTTCAAACATCCGGTCAATGAGGTAGCATCCGGTTGTTGTAGCCCAACAACTGTGGAATAGGCGTAAGTGGTGCTGGTGCGCGTCGGCATCCCGTGCAAAACACAATGATCAAACTGTTCTCGCTAAAGCAGCAGCAAAAGGACGGCGAAGCGACCGGCAAGGCGAGCAACCAGAAACGCGCCTCGGCCGCCCAGCTGAGGATCACCAAAGACATCAACGAGCTCAACCTGCCCAAGACATGTCAGATGGAGTTTCCCGACCCGGACGACTTGCTCAGCTTCAAGCTCGTCATCTGTCCGGACGAGGGCTTCTACCGCGGCGGACGCTTCGTCTTCAGCTTCCGCGTGAGCGCCAACTACCCGCACGAGCCGCCCAAGGTCAAGTGCGAGACAATGGTGTACCACCCCAACATCGACCTGGACGGCAACGTGTGCCTGAACATCCTGCGCGAGGACTGGAAGCCCGTGCTCACCATCAACTCCATCGTCTATGGGCTCCAGTACCTCTTCCTCGAACCCAACCCGGAGGACCCGCTGAATAAGGACGCCGCCGAGGTGCTGCAGAACAATCGGAGACTGTTTTTAGCAGCCCCTTCCGGCGACTGAATTCAAACACGAGGGAAGGAGGTTTGTTGCGCCTTTTACTTATTATTATTTTTTTCTTCTGATGCAATATTCCCACTATCACTTGGTACGTTATGATTCACTCCGTGATGTTGTAAGTCCGCGTGAGGAGCTACGCCTCGGCGGAAACCAGCTGCGCTCGCCGAGGGTTACCTGGGGACCAAGCAAACTAGACAAAGGGCTTGTTCTCACGCGACATTTTATTAACAAAGCCGCGTGTTACAGCGATGGATTTCAAGAGTTCCTGCAATTAGGGTGGTTGAGGAAAGGGAGAGTCTTTCTGTGAACAAACTCAGCCCCAACAGACGTCAGAATTTGCGAGAACCATACTAATTAGCTAAATAATTAACTTGAATTTACTATTAAAGACGCAATTTAGTTTAAATAAAAATATGGTTTTCCGTGAAAAACTTGCTAAGCATTATCAAAAACCACTAAATCAACTTTTTCTTCTTTTTTTTTTAATATAAGGCAGGGGCAGCATTTTACGGCGTTCTGAAAAAGCACGCAATTAGGACGCGTTTCTAGATTTCGGTTTCTTCTCGGAGCGCATCTCTGCGCCCGCGGTCCAGTTTCCCATTGGCCTAGACGCACAGCACACGTGCGCCCTACTTCCATCCTTCCTACGAGAGAGGTGAGGCCGCGGCTTCGCTGCTCACTGGCACCGGAGGGCAGGGCGTAGCTTACGCAAAAAGAAAGAAAAAAAAAAGCTTTAAAACGTTTTAAAATTTAACGTTTTTTTTTTTTTTAAACGTTGTAAAATAGTGTTCTTGTCTTACATCCTTCTAAAATTATTTGACTGAGTGGTTATCGATTGTTTAGCAAGTTTCTCATTGGAACAATATATGCCTAGTTTTACTAACTAAAAAGATAATTAGTAAATTTTATATCATTTAGCCAATAAAAATGTTTTTTTTTTTGCCTTTTTGACGTTTGTTGTGGGTGGAAGTTTGATCCCGGAAAGAGTTCTCGCTTTTCTAAAGGACCCTAATTTTAGAGATTGTCTAAAGCCTTATCTAAAACACCCGGTATATTCAAAAATACAAAAGAGTTCAACAAAAAGGACGGACTGGACAAAAATCTTTCGAAAAATGTTTCTCCTGTCCGCCCTTTTTCTCTAATTCTTTCGTATTTTCGATTCTGTTACAAACTCGCTCAATCCAAGTTTACCCGGAATATGTTTGAACAGGAATACTATGAGCAGACAACCAAGACAGCCAGGGCCACAGTTTACAATTATGATCAACCACGTTACACATGAAGCGCGCTCCGATATATAAAAATCTTTGCTTGTCCACATATCTATAAGATTGGTATACAGGGTGCCCAGTTTAGCCGGTCCATATTTTTGTCTAAAAATTCTCGAATGCTACACTAACGCGGCCTTTTTAGGCGAGTTACACGGCCAGGATTACATAGTATAGGGGACTGTTTTTCACATTACTTCAAACAATTAACTAAAATTTGTTCATTAACTTTTGGATGACTGAAAATATACCAATGATTTTCATTAGAAACTTGCTGAGCGTAATCGAAAACCACTACTTCAGTCATTGTTTAGAGATACCTGAAGCACGTAGGAAGCACGGGAGTGATCTAAAGTTATCGCTCGTGAAATAGGCGCAAGAATGACAGTAAGAAAACGCGGAAAATAACCTTAGCATCTGCGTTTTCGCCCCACCAGGCTTCTGCCTGTTCCATGAGTAATAATCTTAGCGCCCCCCCCCCCCCCCCCCGCTTCCATCCTGCTTTTTTTTCCCCTAAAATTGTCTGATTTACTTGTCGTTCAATACTCTCAGTGAGATTCTAATTGAAACCCCATGTTTACTTGTTCTGAATAAAAAGTTAATTGACACAATTAAATAACACAATTTGGATAATTATTTGGCATGAGTAGTCCCTTATAATACGTTTCTCTGGCCTTATAGACCACATGCGCAGACCGTATTAGTTCATTCGCTTGAGTGAAATCTATTGAGGGCCTTCCTTCACATAGACAGCAAGGTAAATGGGCACGTATTATTTTATAGTGCGTTATAAATGAAGTGCCTCCCGTCCTGCTTCCGTTTAATTTCCGCTTTCTAGCGATTTCCGGGGTTAGAAGTCTTAAATGGTACGTCATTTGCATTTTTTAGTCGCTTCAAAAGTGGCGGGCGTGGCTTGTTGTGTCATTTGGCTGCAAGCTCTGTATTTTGCAGTATTGCCATTTATGGCGCGTTGTACTCAGGATGAATTTCGTGTAGCCTGATTTATTTTTGCACTCGGTATTGTCTTTGACAGGCTCTGGCCGTTCAACACCGAGTTCCACCAATTGCACAAGACGACCCAAGGACGTCATAAAACGCCTTCGAGCAAAGGTTTACAGTTACACGAAGACAATTGGAAGGCTGCAGCGGAAGGAACAGAAGCAGAAGCCTCGGTCAGTTTGAGAAGCTCTCGAAATGGTGCCTCCTTTTGTGTGTGAACAGGTGTTTGAACTGATCTCGTCACAGGCAAAATTACGGTGCAGGGGACAGCAAAAGCGGTTCCCACTGTGGCTCAAGAAGTTTGCCTTGCACCTAAAGTTTCATGGTCCCCAGGCGTACCGTTTCTTGTCGTCACATATAACGCTTCCCACACAGCGTTCTTTGCGAAGGTGGCTGTCAAACGTAAAAATGACTCCAGGTATCATACCTGGTGTCATGCCCTTCACCAAATCCCAAACGCGGTCTTGGAACGCTCGGGATCGTGTGTGTACTTTGATTTTTGACGAGATAGTGCTAAAAAAGAACTTATCTTATGATGTCACGCACGACATTGTTCATGGATTTACCGATGACGGTGCAGAACGAACTTCCACCAGTGCAGACAGAGCCCTGGTTGTTCTGCTCTCTGGAATTTCTAAAACGTGGATGCAGCCTCTTGCATACACTATTGGGCACACATCCACACCGTCCTCTGTCATCCGCAATCTCCTAATTTCACTGACTCAGGAACTTAAAACTGTTGGAATCACAATAAAGGCTGTCGTGTGCGATCAGGGAGCGTCCAACGTATGCTTGGCCAACCAGCTAGGTGTGTCTGTTCAAAAACCAATTTTTGAAGTTGAAAATGAACACGTTTGTTTCATCTTCGACGTTCCACACCTCATCAAGACAACTAGGAATAACCTTCAAGCGCACAAGCTTTGCATTGGAAGTGAGGTCGTTGACTGGACGTGTGTAGTTCAACTTTATCGTTCAAACCACGAGATGCGACTGCGTTTGTCACCAAAACTGACTGAGCGACCTATATTCCAGAAACCTTTCAGTAATATGAAAGTTAAGCGTGCAACACAAGTCCTGAGCGCCTCAGTGTGTTTAGCAATTCTATTCCTTGTTTCTTCCAAGGAGCTTCCGGCCGCAGCCATGGTTGCAGCATACTTCTGCGATCGTATGGACAAACTGTTTGATTGCCTAAATAGCTCAAAACTCAAAAAGACGGGGCAGAAGTTGCGCTATGGCATTCTGAAAGGAGAATCGGAGCTGGTTGATTTCCTTCACCAGCAGCTTTCGTGGATTGCAACATAGAAGTTTCAGGGTAGGAGGCAACCCCAAACCGTGACAGGGTGAGAAATTACTATAAAGAGTTTCCTCATGCTCTGGGAGGACCTTTCAACCAACCACGACTTTCAGTTTTTGCTTACACGACGACTGCAGCAAGATGCGCTCGAGAACATGTTCGGAACAATCAGACAAAAACAGGGATGCAACACGTATCCCAATGTATACCAGTTCACTTCGGGTCTGAAGCATATAGGGATAAAAAAAAAAAAACTCTTTAAACTCTCGAACAGTGGAAACGTTGAGGATGACAAGGCTCACCTCCTGCACAAAATGTCGATATTTTCACTCAATGAAAGTTCAATTGTTGATAACATAGAATGTCCTCAAGTTGAGAACTTCCCTCCACTAGAAGACATTTCTGAGCTGGCATCAGATATAAAGTCAAACATTATTGACGATTCCACCACTTATTACGTTGGAGTTATCTCATTAAACGTTTCCTTGAAAAGACGACACAGAGTTGTGTTTGTTATGGGCTACTCAAAGGCGAGTCCTGTAACCTGACCAGATCCCACAAAGCATATCATGTACCTGG